AATCGGCCTGGTGGATCCCAAGATATTTGGGGTTAAAGGCGCGAACATAAAGATTTACAAATTCACTGTTACACAAAATATCATAGTTTATAATACTTCGTGTAACAGTGAATTTGTAAATATATACAGTATTTATGTTCGCGCCTTTAACCCCAAATATCTTGAGATCCACCAGGCCGATTTTAATGATCTAACCATCATTAGAACCAGAAAAATCTCCTCTACAACTTTTCTTAGAGGGAAAGAAAGGTTTACTTATTAAAAAATTCTTTAATTTTTAAAAAACTAATTTTTACTATATAAATATATACTAAAAATAAAAAATTTTGTAAATTTTTGTGTAAATAGCAAATTACCATGGTAGAAATAGCAATTCCCTAAAAAAATTTATCAAATTTGGCCAAGTAGTTATTAAGATATCTTTATTCAAAGTTAAAAGAAAATCAAAACACCCTATTAAAATAAAAATATATATCAAATATTTTTAAACTATAAGTGAAGATATCTTAACAACTACCTAATTAAATTTAATAAAACTTTTTTTATTTGAATTTTATAAATTTATAAAATTTAAATAAAACAAATTTGATAAGGTTATTGTCAAAATATTTTAGCTATATTTTTTAAAAAATTTTATTTATACTAAAGTATAAATATTTTAAACCATTTGGTTAAACTTAATAGCTAATTTTTTGCATATCGATATAATAATTATTTAACGTTAATTTATATTAATATGGAAATGTAACATTACTCTATCACGTGTATTTGTTTTGAATAAGTAGTTTTAAGTACACGCAGTATATAAAAGGACAACATCGTTCAGACCTTTGATTGACAATACGTTAATCAGTTTTGAAAATAAATCTCCAGCAAGGCTTTCGTGATAAAAGATTTTTTCAGTATAAGACATGGCCCTGGATCGTGGTACGCCTGAAGGTGTAGAGGCCTGGCTTATAGAAATGTCTGCAAAACCTTGGTCGTTTCCCACAGCGGTCGGTCCAGAACTCTCGCAAGAAATATTACAACACATTTGTAATCGCTGGGAGACCTACACACCTAATCTTAAGCTAGGAGTTTTGTTTGCTATACTGAGCATTAGAAAACTATTGGTGAGCCAGATGAAGGATGAGTTATCAGCGGTAAGTAAAAATGAAGTTTTGGGTCTGAACGCCGATCTGATCGTGGTGGATTTGGGCTTTTACGTGTTCATTTTTTAATATGGTTGATATCTAAAAAAAAAAGTTGAATTTATTAAATAATAAAGCCATAATGAAACTAGAGAGAACATACAAAAGTAAAATAAATACGGTTCTAGCTTTATTTTGGTCAACCAATAAATGTTTATCATATAACGGCATGTCTTTCATGTTCTTTTGAGATATGCGTCACTTCTGTCAACCTAGAAGTCGTAATATCACAATGTATTTATTAGATAGATGATTTTTTGTGCGGAAATCATACAGGACATTAAATAAATTATTTGTAATGCATCGTAATGCTTCGTCCGTGCATGACAGATCTATTGATAAAAAATGTGCTGCAAAAATTGTTATGGATGCTTTCTCTGTCAAGTGCAGAGAAGCAATAAACTGTTGGTTTTAAGCTCTTGTTTATGATTACTTACTTTTATGTATAATTTTTATCTAGATAATCGAAAAAGGCACTCGAGAAAAAGAAGATGAATGGGTTATTTTAATATCAAAAATGTTGCGGGAGTATCCAAGCACTACAGCACTTGATTTGAATATAGAACGACACATCCCTACTGCTGCTCAGAATGGACTTCAGAATTTAATGAATAAGAGTAAATCTCTTCCTTTTTATTAGTGATTATCAATATTCATTTGATTTTTTAACGAAAAAAAATTTTTTTCTTAATTATAGTACGGCAAAATGGAATCAAATTCCATCCGGTTGAATATGCATTCATTGATCGCGATATTTGCGATTCTTTTTCTACGCTCTCAGTAAACTCTTCTGTTACATCAACACATTTTGTTTTACGAGATTCAACCGCCGCAAATTCTGCAAATCAAATACGCACAACGATTCTAAATAATATGTCTGTGCCACCTTCTCCAAGTTTGACCTCACCAGTAAATGTATCAGGTTTCAATTTTCCACCAGTTGGTCAATCTCAAAATCAGGCTTTACATGGTCCCCCAAGCCGTTCCAACTCAATTTCTTCCGGACAATCACTTTTTATTCCCTCAAAGCGCCGTCCTTCGCAGTTAACACAACCCTACTCTAAAGGTATAAATCCTCCAAAACCAGGTCCAATTAACACAAGCAGAGGTACGCTAAAATGATGGGACTAATATACCTATTTGTTCCTACTTGATGCTTTTATTTACTGATATCAGCAGGGTCCTTACCTGGTGCAGGAACATCTTCGCAAAGTTCAGAATCACCTACCGAACAAAAGGTCACCATTACCCAAGGTAAAAAATATCAGAAACCGTCAAGAATTCAAATGATTGATATATCAACTGGGTCGAAAATTATCAAGGATCAGGAGGAGTCAAAGCGGCAGACACAATTAGGTACGCATATATCCCACCGTTATTTCTTTTATTAAGTGGCTTATTTGATTTATCTTTTATACATTTGACTGGAATATTATCAGTGTTGCCAATTTTTGATAATGTGTACATTGCTTTCTGTTGTATGATGTCGGTCAGAGGAACAACAATCGAAGGAAGCGCGACGGCTTGAAAGAGAAAAAAAGCAGGAAGAAAGACGACGTGAAGAGGAAGAGAAGAGACAACAAAAAGAACAAGAAAAGGCCGAGAGGGCCGAAAAGCAGCGGTTAAAAGAAGAAGCTAAAAGAAGAAAAAGTGAAAAAACCGAAAAGAAGACTACTACGAAGACTACCACTGCGACCGAAACTGAAACTACGGATGCACCAGTTAATAATTATCCATGTAAGTATAAAGATATCATATACAAAATTGTTTGTTCAATAAGTTATAATTATCAACTAAATTTATTAAATAATCAATTTTTTATGTTTGTAGTGACACGAAAAAAGAAGAGATTAAATAGTAAAGTATTAATTCTTATAAAAAAAAAACCTAGTGATTATAATTCTGTATTCAATGTACATCATTGAATATTGTCAACATGATGTACTTGCAAAACAGATTCTCATTATTTTTTGTAGTCATTTAGAGCGCATTTACTCATAATCATCGAAATTTATTGTTGAATTATAGATGATGAAGTCGTTGATGAGGAAGCAGTTTCTGATGGAGAGATGTCTCATAAAAATCCACAAACGATTGTCGCATCTCCCACTTCTTTATCACCACCAGCGAATCAATTTAATGATCAAAATATCGATAGCTCAACGACTAACAATAACTTTGTACCTGAGATTTCAACTGTAGCAGAACCACTAAGACAACCGATGACATCTGATGTAACTCCTTCAGGTAAATTTTTGTTAAAAGCCTTAATAATACGAATAATCATTAAAATTTCAACTTTATTGCGTTACAACAACCAGCGCAACCGTTACCAGCTTCTCAGCAGTTTGAAGAACAACCTAGGCGAAATATGTCTCCTTCCGAAAGACTTCTCTTCGAACGGAATTGTGTCGCAGTATTGACTGAAGCAAATAAAGTTAATGATAATGCCGATTTAAGACAAATAATCATTAATTTTTTAGGCGGCGTTCATGGTAATTATAACTATTTAGAATCACAAATGTCGCATGCTTTAATAATGCAAAAACATAATTCTAACAACCGTGATTTATGTTATTTTATCCCAAGCAGAGACAAACCAACTCAAAGCTGCTTCTGTTGGTATTCATAACTCAGATGATCATGTGCGCCAAATAATTTTGCATGAAGAGACTGCCCGAAACCATGATGGCAAAGCAACCACAGAAACTTTAATCTTCGAAATTAATTTGACCAACGGACAGTGGAGAAAACTCAAGAGAAAGAAGGTGAAGGGTCTTAGAAGTCAGACAAACGATGGCTCAAGCAGTAGGATGAACGGAAGACAGCAAAATGGCGAAACTTGAAAGAATATAGAAAATAAATTTTATTTCAATAGGCTAGAAAGTTGTTAAGACATATTTGTAACTAAACAGTGTAAATTTTGTCCAATATATACACATAATAATACTGTAAAGCTTGTTAAGAGACTTATGATCTAGCTCATTAATGAAATCTATGAATATCGTCAATTGTAATGCTTTTAACTTTGTCGAGCAAATTGAAATATTATGTTAGCAAAATCGAAGCATTATGGTTAATATTATGATTAGTAAACAAATTACATGGTAAGGTTAAATCAATTTATCAATATAGTTCAAATTACTTTTTTTTTTTTGATGATAGATTTATTAAACATAAGCTATTTATGTAAAGAAAGAGTTAATACATTATATTTATAAATCAATTATATAAGAGACAACTTATATTTACAGTTTTTATTATATTATGTCAAAGTATTATACATATGTCGTTTTTATTATTGAAAACTATCATAAAAAAGCATATATAAATAATAACAATTGTAACAAATCAAAGTTTCTCTTGTCGAGGGGAATCTAATCGTCAAGAAAAAATTTATAAGCAAATTTACTAATGGTAAAGAACTAATGAGAAATAGATTAATTATATTACCAGGATCAAAGGAGCCAAACTTTCTAAGTGGTTGAATATTCGAAGGAATATTAGGGCCTGGTGGTCGGATGGTAGTTGTTAAAACATCGGCTTCCGACACAGTACTTCCATTAGTACCTGATATTCCGGATACTAGAGATCCTGTAAGACCTGATCTAGCCACAGGCGTGCTAACAACATTTCGAACAGATGGTTCATCACCTCGCCTTTCCATCAACAAATAATACATTTGCATTCTTAAACTATGACATATATTCTTAAGATTCTGTATTTCCTCTTGTGTTCTCAAGCTTTCTGTCATCAGAGCAACATTTAAAGTTTCAATATCATTTTTGAAATGTTCATTTTCCGATAGTAGTAATTCATGCGTTGTTAAAAGAGGCGGTGGCCCTTCAGAGGTCATTACTGAATCTTCTGGATTTAGAAAGTGAGAAGGAAACATAGATGATAACCAATCGGATATACTAGATAATTGACTTTGCAAAGATGTAACCGTCTTATTGAGCTCTTGAACTGTTATCCGAAGTTGTTTATTGTCTTGTTCAAGAATTTCATTGCGTTGTCTGTAGATGACGAAAAAATCTTTCAAGGGTTCATATGGACAAGACGGGATATGAACTTTCAATAAATCGCGTTGACGGCCAGTCCAGGAGCAACCATATTCGGCATGAAGACATGTGGAAGGTCTCTCAGAACATTCTTCAAGATGCGTATCATTAGCTGACTGAGGAATTGTTGTATAACAGTAGGGGCACTCGATATGCTTCATTGGACAAGAGTCACAATGCCCCTTTTAAAACATTTCAAGCTTTAGCTGTCTAAATAATTAGACAACAAAAAAGTAACACTGTCAAATACAACAATGCATTAATAAATATAATCATCATTTAGCTTACCTCTAAAGTACCTAACTGAACTTTACATTTACATATTTCGTGGTCGATAACTTTTGCTCGACATTTCTCCATATGTTTTGTTAGGTCTTTTTTAAATACTGCTTCTTGACACTCCTCATTACAACATTCTACAATAGTGTACATACATCCTTCTTTGAAATGACAGCTTAATAGTTGACGTTGGCCTTGATAATTACAGCCAAGATCTTTGTTTGGGCAATAAACTAATAATTCGTTAACCATATTGGATATTATCTTGGAAGCAGGTTTAAGTTCATTGACATCAGAAAGTCTGGAACGGTCAACTGGGCAAGTTGGTCTTGATGTTATGGCTTGACTTATACAAGACCTACAAAAAGTGTGTCTAAAATAGAGAATTTCATCAGCACATTTTAACATTGTGTACGTTAAGGAAACCACCAAACTAGTTACCCGCATGACTCTATAACTACCGGATCAACGAAAGGAGTCTGACAAATGCAACAAATAAGATTC